AATATTTTCTTCTTTAAGATGCTCTTTTATATGCCTAAAGAAATAGAAATCTTTTGTCAAAACAAGAAAAAATATATATACATATATATTTCAAAGTGAAAATAATAATTTGTAAATACATTCAAGGAGGATAATACCTGGTGACAGTGTTTGCAGGAATACTGATTGGGAAATTACAAATATTTTTACGTTAATTTTATGCAAATACGATTTTTAAAATGTCAAATCATATGATTGTGTACTTCAGCATATATGGTCAATAAAAGAGCAATATCCAAGTTAAATATCACAATTTGATAAATGATTTGAATTGACGATTGTGTAGTAACACAGATGTTGAACCCACGTGGGTTTCGAATCATCAATCGACACACAGAATTTGAATCGAGAATTCCCAATCGAATGTCAACAAGTAATAATTCTTGTGAAATATCAGTCAATCTACTCACTCTTTATCATGGGTTACTTTAGTATTATGTAGTCGGCTTCCTTCGTGATCTCCGTGTCCTAAAACCAAGCTAACCTGAACAATAACTATCACGAACAAGCACGTTCTAAAAGACTCCATTGGAATATCTTTTACACCTTTTACAATATCTTTATAACTCCAGCTTGTTTGAATAACGATCTTGAAAATTACCACTCTAGAAACGGCGATACAGCTGATGTTCGATCTCCGGCGTAGAAGCTGAAAATTTTGATTATTTTTCCTTTGATGGACTAGACAATTGCTTCTAGTCCCAGTATCACGCGGTCGTTGGTTTGTATGTGTGGTTCCTTGATTGGTTGCTTGTTATAATTTTATTAATGGCAATAAAAACCAGCTGATTAAATGCCTACACTAATGTACTGTAATCTACTAGTTCCGATTTTAAAATGTTATCTCGAAAAAGGATATACTTAATTAATTCTAGTATCAGATGTAAGAAAACTTGGCATACTATGGAAATAGTTCATTTTATTTGACAAGAACCTAATTTTTGATTTTGAAATATGTCAATTAAATGTTTTATGAAAGTCGGCAACAGATCAAAATACCCTACAATGATTTTTGACAGGGGTTTATGGCCATTGAAATCTAATKGAATTTTGACACTRMSTWAACTCACGTAGGTTCCATGGTGTAATGGTTAGCACTCTGGACTTTGAATCCAGCGATCCGAGTTCAAGTCTCGGTGGAACCTTTTTTTGAAGGTTTTTTTTTTTCTTTGGGAAACGAGTTATAATTGCGAATTGCCTTTTTTTCGCATAAGATTGCTGATGCACAGTTGTTGAACACTCTACTCATTTACCTATTAAAAGTACGGAAAGAAGAAAGAAAGACGTCTGCCGAGGAGACTATCTTATCATTCTACAGAACTGCGAGTATAATAAGGACATGAAGTCCATGAAGACATATTTTATGTCTTTATCTTTAATTATAATAATTGCCCCTAGAAGCTAATCTGGCAATGAGCGGTCGGCGGCCATAGTACGAACGGATAAGAAACGTGAAAATCGTTTCGGGATTTCCTTAGGTGCAAACTGTCAATTATTATTTTTGGTAGGGTAGGAATGTGAGGGGGAGGTTCACTTAAAACTACAAATAAGTTTATTCGCAGCAATCAGCAACTAYCAGTCAATGAATAAATAAGTWGCAGAGCTATCATTATWATTATCATCATCATTATTATTAGCTATTATTATCTTACAATCATATTTACCATTCATGCAAGTTGCAATTGTTCACTTTTGTTCACAAATATCAATATGTTACTATATTTAACAAGTACAAAAAAACAAACAAATAGAGAGCCTGCTAAAGGCTCAATTGTGGCCTCAACGCGTGATCCGGGACCGAAGTCTTTACTATTGCATGAATCAACTAAGCTGGCAGCACAGTGTTTTGTTAGTTGATCAAGAGGCATGCACATAAACAAAGAATCAAGACATCCATCAATCTACCTATTGCAGTTGCAGCTTTGGAAGAAGGGTTGTCGTCCGTAGCTTTCAGTTGGGTGGGATACGTCTTCAAAAGATGTAAGGCATAGCCATTGGTCCAGCCAAAGCCAACTTGAATATCATACTCTCCTCCTCCCCCTGGGGCTCCTTGAACTCTTGCGTCRTATTTCTCGAACATATCTTTCGTGGASACCCATGCTTTGTAATTRGTTCTGATCCATTTTTGTGCGAGATCAAAAGCAATTTTGTTAAGGGGTTGGACGTTTGTGTTTTTGATACCTTCTTGGATAAAGTACTGCAAAGGGGCCCAGGCGTTAGGAAAATCCCACTGTTCTCCCGARTTAACCTTAGATGTTGGAACRCCACCAGGGTATTTCAAAACTTCCATCTCGATAAGGGCGTGGACAAATATTTTGTCTYGTGTCTTGTTGCCATTATGGAGTCCAGCCCAAAGGGGAACTACATTGGATGCATAGAATTGATCGATTATTAAGTTAGTGTCCAGGTCATAATCTCCCCAAGTTGCTTTGTCCTCTTTCCAAAACACTGCTTCCATCGATTTTCTTCTCTCTGTTGCCAAACGGTCGTATATCTCGGACTTCTGCGTATCTTTGGCTCTTAAGAAAAAGTTCTTAAGAGTAAGTTCATTGCGGTATARAATAGCATTTAAATCCACTGGGACAATTCGCCGTGTACGAATGGACTTCATGTCACTTTTTGKATTTTTACTGAACCAACGTGTTGAGAAATCCCATCCGCTTTCCGCTGCAGACGCAATATCGCGGTAGACTCGGCCTTTGTCCTTTAATCCACTTGCAGTATGGACATCCTCGTAGTAGGACTCTGGTCKAGGTGTATTCATATTTGCAGAGTAATAGTTAAGCTTATGAGTGATCCCTGATTTSTTGACCTGTACGCTGCGGTTGGCATTCCAGAATTCATACTCGGTTTCCAAGTAAGGGAGWATTGYCTTCACRTAGTCGAAATCCTTGGTTGCTTCCAAATATAGATCAACAATGGGAATAAGAAATGGTGGTTGACTGCGGTTAAGATAGTAAATTCTYCCTCCGTTTGGCACAAACCCATATTTTTTCACAAGTTGCACAAAGTTACTTATCATYTGTTTGACAGTGTTATTCATTGCACAAGCTAGAAGACCCTCCACCGTCCAATACGTATCCCAATAATAGTATTCGCGAAATCTTCCTCCAGGAACGACGAAGGGCTCGTCAACCAGAATGAGGGATGATCGATTAGGGAACTTTTGCGCTGTATCTGGATTTATTTTCCGTCCGAGTTTCAGCCAGACGTCGTTCAAATGGTAGCCAAATGTCTTCAACCGTTTGTCAACAACTTTCTCAAGGAATGCAGGTTTTTCCGTCCAGTCGTCGGGTTTCCATTCCACAAGATCYTTGCCAGGAGGAAGGAAGTTCTCCTTCAGGAAGGCAGCAAGATCACTTCTGCTGGCGTTMTKTGRAAGTCGTGAAAATCCAGCCAACACATCTTCTGGGTTTTGGCTCATTCTCATGTCAACAAAAGACTTGGAATCGTTGAACAGYCTGGCCATTTGCACAGTATGTAAAAGGTTTCCGCGGCAAAACACGTCATTATTGCATGGAAACAATGTTTCATTGTTTGCAGAAGTTCTCTGTGCTAAAACAACAAGATTTGTCAGGAAAAGAGGCATCAAAGAATAAGTTAATTTCGCCATGCTTACCGAATCAAATATGTGTAATTTGACACGGATTTCATAAACTGACTAGCTGTCAAGTGTAACGACATGTCAGCATTGCTCGTGACCTAAAGGTGTTGAAAAGTGCTGGCTTATTCAGCTCATTTAAAACTTTTCTCTTGTTCGCCTATATGACCAACCATGTCTTTCTCAATTTTCAAAACGGCTCGCCCGAGTTGACGCTCTAAGCGGGTCTGGTTTAGATATAAAGAATCTACTGAAGGCATATGCAGTTCACCTATAGGAACTGATATCAAATGTATCAAGAGTAAAATTTGTGAAAGTAACTCCTAGATATAAAAGCGTAGACACGGTATACACCGCACGGCAATGCATGACGTGACTCAAACGTTCACTCTGATAGTCTTTCGTGAGAAACAAAGGGCCTGGTCACGAGTAATAATAATAATTTAATATTTGCTATAGCGCTAATTGGCATTGGTAAATCGTTCCATACTGTTTGGGCAGAGCTTGTAAAGGATCATTCGCCCATAGTTTTACCCATTTTGCCAACTGTCTCAGCAGTAATCCAGCTCTAAGGCCGTATTTCGATTTGTCTTTGACTTGAATGAGTAATGCAAAGATAAGATGGTGCTAAGCCATGGATAGCCTTGACTGTGATTAGAAGTACTTTAATACGATAGTGTATGCCGGGAAGCCAATGCACACTGGAAAAAATCGCGCGCTTTAATAAATTTGATGTAAATATGCCTTGCCAAGTGTCCAAAATTCTGTAAATTTGATGTAAATGATTTCCATCAAAGAATCTGCATCAAAGACAGAGTAATAAGTAATATATTTATGCATTCCTTAGTCAAGAATTGCTTTATGCGTCTAATATTATGCAAATAGATAAAAGCTGACTTACAGATGTTCGTGATGTGTTTAGACATACCCAGGTTGGAGTCCAGCCAAGATTCTTTACACTGGAGCTCGACTCGATCAAGTCACTGCCGATGGTTAAATTTAAGGAATTAACCTTCATCAACTGTTAACGCGTTCCAATAATTATGAATTTGGTTTTGTCATCATTATGGATTTTAAGCCTGTCACTAAATCATCCAACTTCTGATATTCTCAATACATAGTCCTAATAGCATCTTGTGTCGAGGAACTGGAATCCGGTTTGAAGCCAAGATACAACTGAGTATCATCTGCATAACAATGAGTTTCAGGAAGATCGTTTTGATGCATAAATGATGAAGAGAAGAGGACCTAGACACGACCCTTGAGGAACACCGCAGTCCAGATTAAAACGTTGAGACAATGAACCCTCAAAAAAATAAATCTCCCGTTTGTTTTTGTTTTTTGTTTGTTTTTTTTTGTCGAGAAATTGGCAAAACTGTGATTTTTTTCCCACTACATTCACCAAAAATATGGGGCCAGCCTTTGTGATTGAATTCTGTAAGTGAATCAGTGGTCTGCGTGAATCTGCCTTGGTTGACAGCCCTTCAATGGTTATCCAAACTTGCACGCAATCTTTTGCATTTTGTCTAGTCTATAAGGTGTATTCTATGATCTTGCCAAGCCGTGATAAACACGAATCAGGGACTGCAGTCACGCCATCATGGCGTATATGATTGAATTGTCAAGTCCAAAAGATGGTGGACCAAATCATTCTTTTTCCGTTATACAAACAAACAACGCAGTTATATAAAAACAAGCGCAGGATATCAAAAAAATTTCCTTTTTTCTTGCGCGAAGCACAACGCTAGCCTGCATTCAGCTTGCTTCTGTGCTAGTCCTTGTGTTGTTAGTGAAAACCAGATTTCAAACTTTGAAACAAGTTGTTGCTTATTTCATTTTCAAACAAAAAAATGTCGCATTTCGGCCTGACGAGTGGGTTTCCTTTGGATTTCGGGCTTCTCTTTGCGGCTGCGCATTGGGATTGTCGTTAGACGTGGCAAGATGGCGGCCGATGAAGAAGGRAAGAATGAACCTCCCCGACTGAATTTAACAATCACAGAAGACCAAAATTCCCCTACAAAAGAAAATCTGAATACCCCAGAGAGGGATGAAGTTATAGAGCCTTATAAAAATGGATTTGGCTTAGGAGAATATTACAAACTTTGTCTCAAATATTATCACAAAGGTTAGTTCGAGTTCACGAAAAAATGGAATTCGTTTAYTGTCTTCTTGGAGTTCGTTGGCGAAGTTTACCTATTTATGTGTCTTGAAAAGTATATATAGCATTTCTAGATTTAAGTTATATGCATGTAATTGTTTTGAAAATCATTAAGTTGTTAGATATCGCTGTCGTCATTGTCGTGAAATCTGATCAGTTGCAGGCAGTTATAAGATAGACAGCTAAGATAGATATAACGTTTAGAAATAACACCTAGCAGTCTTTAGATTGAATTACGTGTTGATATACATAAAATTCATGGTAATAAAATATAATGTAAATAACGTAGTTGTGGCAAAGTAACTCAATTAAATTCATTCAAAGCATTTACACACATGGTTTTGAGATGAGACAAAGTCTGATAACATGACCACCCACAGATGCTATTTATTGCAATCAATTTGATTTAAAAAATGATGAGATCTAATATTATTTTGCTAATGTATTGTCTGTTGGCTTATATTTTATAAAGTGAGATTTTTTTTCATTTATTTATTTTTCCTATTTCATTAACTTCTGCTCATTGGTATTTATAGAAAAGAAGATAATCAAAATATCATATGATGACAAGCTTCAGTTAACAGCTTTTTGGAAACAAGTAACATGTGGGAGTTACGATCCAGACAAGCTACCTGATGTAGGATACTTTGATGTCATTGGTAACGATAGAAGGTATCATTATTGTAGTTCTTTGAGTGTTCTTCATTGTTCTATTACTTGTATTTGGTTTGTTGTTTATTTTACTCATGCTAAATTAAATTGATTGAAAATAGAGAAATAATGTCAAATGTTAACCAGAGTAATGTTTAAAAACAGAAAGTTATCARCAAAAAAGTCCTTGAAAAGTCCTGAAATTGAAAACTYGTTTTCAAGGGTGCTTGGAAGCCCTTAAAAATTGCTGAAATTCCTGGAAAACTCCTTGAATCTGATAAAATTGTTGCTTGTTAGCTTTTGGATTGAAATGTGGGTATTTTTGAAAATYGTCACTTTAAACATMAAAAAATRTCTTCAAAAACTCCTTGAAAATCGAACTTTTGTGCTTAAAAAGTATTTGAAAGTCCTGGAATTTTGTAGTGAGAACATAGCACAAACCATGGGCAATGTTACTTTGATTTGATATAATGAATAATAAATATTTATTTGTTGATGACAGAAAAGCATGGGAGGCATTGGGAAACATGAGTCAAACAGAAGCCATGGAAAACTTCTGTATTCTTCTTGAGGAATGCTCACCAGAATTGAAACCATGGATGGAAGCACAGCATCGCGAAGTGGAAGAAATGAAAAGAAAGAAAAAAGAAGAAGAAGAGAGGCAAAGGAGAATGGCAGAAGAAGCTGCTGAAAGAGAAAGACAAAGATTAGCAGAGGAAGAAGCAAGAAAAAGAGCAGAGGAAGAAGAAAGAATGCGCAATGAAGAAATGATAAAACAGCAAGAATTGATAAAGAAACAAGAAGAGCAACAAAGGATTCAACACAATCAAGTAGATGGTTTGCAACACCCAGCTCCATCACAGCATAAAGAAGAGGTATGGCAGTCTTTGTTTAGCCAGTATTATTTTTTTTATTTTTATATCACATCAAGGCAAAAAATGATAGCAGGTGACGTCTAACAAAGTGTGACCAGTTTGGTCAGTTAAAGCAGGGACGTGGTTAAAGCAACGTTTAGCTTAAGCAAAATGTTTGATGTCTATTCATACAAAATTATAAACAATCTTGACAAAACATTTTCAGTTGACTTGGTCTTACTGTCAGTGCATTGCTATTTAAGTAAAAAATGCTTAAACATCATAACCATTTTAGAAAGGTGGCTTGGTCTATTGAAGAATAAATCTTCAAACAAACCGATGGGAAACTAATATAATATTTCTTTGTTCTACATAGACTAAACAATCCAYGTCACCAGCCARTCAAACAACTCGCATCCTTCCTGCATCGTTGTGGACAAGACCTAAAGTTACAGAATTCATACAACATGTCAAATCAGATCCTAACTCTGTCCTAGTAGTGGGAAGAGGAGAGACAATGACTGTCCGTGTGCCAACCCATGACAGTGGTAGGTTATACTTGTTTTGGATGCAGAACTGGCACAAAATGTTTTGAATGCCTGTTGTCATAGAATATGCTAGTTACAGTCCACATGGTTGTAAAAAATTAATCTTTTGTGCTAAATAATAAGGAGATCTTTCACAGTGTATGGTGTGAACTCTAGAAGCCATCCTTGTTCTTCTAATCCACTGTCATGAGACAAGTTCATYCAAACATTATTTCTCTTCTCTCTATGTTAGGAACTTGTCTGTTTTGGGAGTTTGCAACAGAAGATTATGATCTTGGATTTGGAGTTAGTTTTGAATGGTCTGTTCAGAATGGTRCATCTCAGAATATTACAATTGCTGTCAATGAATCTGATGAGGATGAATTTGCTGAAGAAGACGATAAGCCTACAGAGGATGATTCCAACTCCAGTCCCCCTCGACCAAGGGTGGATGAGATTTTACCAGTTGTCAGAAGGCCTTGTCATGAGGAAGTGATTGTTGGTAGTCATATGTACCCTGGCAAAGGAGTGTATTTGTTAAAATTTGATAACTCCTATTCATTATTTAGGTCAAAGACATTATATTACAGAGTTTACTATACACGGTAATAATAAATAATATATAATTTGTTTTAATGAGCTACAAATAACTTTCTTTAGCAAAGATTTTACAATGTGGGACAATCTGATCTAAAAGACACTTAGTAAGAAGTTGGATAAGAGAATTGTAAGGTTTTAGATCAATTAATGTAATATAATGAAAACTGTCAGCATTGTTATCCGCACTCCAAATATTTTGATGTTTCAAAGAAACAATATTATGAAATCAAAAACATCAAAGAAAAAGTAGAATTAAATATGCAATTCCACTTTCCCTTTCTATGAGGAAATCTATTTTGTAATTAGTACAAGCAATGAATTTATAAAGGATTAAATGTAGAAGTATTGTGTTTGAGACAGTCGTCAAGAACGTTGTACTATAGCATATCAATCAAATAAAAAACTTTTATTGGTTTTTATTAAGTATTGAATCAATTCACATTAATTTTTCCTGTGTGATGGAATATTGCATGCAACATGGGTATGAAAAGCTGCAACAAATCATTAACTTTATCCTATATGGATTTGACAATATACATGACTATATATATCAAGCATTTTTGTCTTAATATTATAATAATGTGAATCTGACAAGATGTAACAAAAGTCAGTATGCAAATCAGGTTTATTCTGTTTCAGTTTGTGATCTTGCTTCAAGGTCATGATTTCTATTGTGTTTTACTCATGATTTATTTATAACTTTGATAATTTCTAGATAAAGTGTTTTTATAATGAGATAAAAGTGAATGATGCTAGTTGGGGTTTTGGGAGTTTTGAATCAGATCTATAGTACCAAGAGTGATAATGTGGTAGACTTATATATTCAATGGTTGAAGACAACAATAAATTGATCATATTTTGTAAAAAATGGTAGTGTATTAGATGTCTAATGTAATGTTGATACTGAGAGAAGAAAAATTATTGTTTAATTGTGTAATTAGTAATATTTGTTTCATAGATTTAGTTCATCCACTCTGTTCATAAAAAAGTCATAATTTCCTCTTTTATTGTGTTGTTGAAAACAAGTGCAATGAATGATTTCAAATGTTTTTTAAAAGGCTCATTCTTTACATTACTTAAATCAAATACAAGTATATAAATTAAAAATGATATTGGCAGGGGATTGAGTAACAGGAACAATAAATTGGAATTTTTAGGTGTGCTAACAAGGAACACCACAATATAGAGTGGAAATTGTGTGATTTGATATATTTTTGAAGAAGAACAGTGATTTACTATATTTTTAAGGGGGAAAATTGTATTGGAAAAACAATATTATTTAGAATTGTAAGCATGATATATAACCAGAGTTGTTCTTTTGTTCAACATTTTTTTGGACAAGGAAATAAAAATTTTCTACAAGTGCAGTTAGCAACATATTAGAGATTTGGCAAAATATTATAAAAAGTATTATGCATATATATTGAAGTATAAACATTTCCTATGTAACTGTTTTATCTTGGCCCAACTCAAAGCAATATTCCAGGTGTACGCAATATATTACGCATGAATTACGTATTCATCCCGTACGTATTGCGCATGTACTAATCATCCAATCACAAACGGGAATCGCGTCACGTGGTATTTCGGAAGCGACTGTGAAAGACGTAGCCATATTTTTTTTCAAAAATATCGTTTGCTACGTTTTGCTGCCAAAAAATGGGAAAATATTCAGCTGTTGAATCTCTTCTCATTGAAGAAGTGAAAAAGTATCCTGGTCTCTGGAAGACAACGGACCCGGAGTACAAAAATCGAGCGGCTAAAGACAGTGCTTGGGAAGCTATAACGGAGACGGTGAATGCCGCAGCGAACACCACGTATTCAGGTAAAGTTTATCATTCTGTTGGCTTCACAAAAATGCTCAACTTATCTTCTAAATCTATTAAAATAATACCAAATGAAGATTATTTTACTAATAGAAATTTTGTAAGCGAGAATTCCAAGCTTTGGACGGCCTTTTATGACATTTCCATGGATACTGCGAAAAATGGTAATGCAGCCGTATTGAAATTCATGAATAGTAAAGAGATATTAAGCCAACAATAGTATTTTGAGGCGCTACCTTTATGATTATTTGCATTACTGTTTCCTGAATCGCTGATGCAGCTAGTCATATTTTTTTSATTTGATTACATCTTTGCATTGTTGAGACAGARTGAAAAAGAGAAAATTTTGGAATAATGAAAGAAACTGTAGAAATTACTGTAAAATTACGGCCYGACAATTCCTCAATTACTTGTGATCTAGCCTTGTATGCAAATGAACCAAAAACAGCAAGATACCACTACATTTATTTTTGAAAAGGTACAGAAGTAAMAACTAAATAGGGGAAACCTTTGCWGCTGCAAGGCAAAGAACGAGATGAAGATCTATGAACAAATAGACCACATGTGCAAAATAGTGTTTTTTTCATTCTTATATTTTCCTTCAACAGTAATGGACTACAGGGACAAGATTTGGAAAAACCTACGAGATTCATATGTACGKGTWCTCAGTGGACGTACCTACAAGTCTTCCATCTATGATTCTGGGGACATCACCAAACATCCACACCTTGAGCCCTTGTCCTTCTTGAAGATCTACATCAACCGCAGAAAAAGTACCACAAAAAAGCTATTTCAAGATAGCCCTGACATCAAACCAGATGTATGTAAGTCAGAGAGTGGTGAAGATGCAACAATGAGTGATCACACTGACATGCTGTCAAATGATCATGATGTACCTTTATCCATGGCAGAAAGRATCCCTACAAGTTCTAATACAGATCACGAGGCAGAAGAAAATGGCTCTGACAGAGCTGTTAAGCGTCCTTACCTGCAGTCAGCGCCAAATGAACAAATTGATAAAGGTGCACTTGACTGTAAAATAATGGAATATTTGTCAAGAAGTGGAGCGACTCCTTGCCCATGTACACAGTCAAGAGAGGAAAGGTGTGAAATGGATGCTGACACTTTGTTTGGTCAAAGCATAGCTGCACAGCTGAGATCAATGGACAAACGAACTAATGCAACTGCTAAAGTGAAGATCCAACAGATACTGCTTGAGTTGCAGTTCCCTGAAAATCCTAATAACTCCTAATCAATCCCTAATAATACTAATAATTCATAATGAGCTATAAGTTACCAGGTAATGCATACTCACAATGCAGTCACTAGCTGTCAAGATATTTATTAGTTAGGACTTAAAGTCCAGAAGATTTATAAACTTATTTGTAGATTTTGTGTCTTTTAATTTAACAGTGGTCTGGTATCATTAAATATTTGATTAATCAGAAATTAAAGACCTTAGATTGTTAACAAGTTAGAGAATCATCTTTTATTTGGTTATTTAGAAGTGAACATTGTAAAACAGATTTAATCTTTTTTGTCTTTCTATCATTTAACCTTTTAAATAGATAAGTTATTCTAGAGACTCTAATAATCATTTTAGTGTCTATTACATTATTTAATTAAATAGGTTTAGCTTCATCAACTGCAGCAGTGTACTAACAGTGTACATGCACTCTCATTTTTAGTAAAAATAAAAATTAATATCTCATCGTACAATAATTGTACAATAGATGTTTTTATCACACTTGTGTAAATTCTTGTCCACTGATCGGCTGATAAGAGTGTGTCAATAAGAGGACATAAAAAAACAAAACAAATTGCACACTTGAGTTTTGAACATTTTATGACGTCAAGAGTGTGTCAATAAGAGGACATACAAATCAAAACAATTTGTTAAATATACATACAGCAGCATTCATAGCAAGACCAATATTGAGATTGTTAAATAGAGGGGGCTGTCGAAATCAGCAAGAAAAATCGTTGAAATCCACCAATTCCTCAATTCTTATATTTTTGGTATCTAGTCATCTGCAAATCCGCAACTGAAAATATCAMAAATCCGATAATYAGCACTAAAAAAGGCAGAATCCTCCGAACTGAAAAACTCCATGTTTTTGTTGTGTCATTTTGTCTGAAGATTGAATCGCGAATTGCATGTCGGTAGACTGACGTCATTCCCAAACAAAAACAACGATCATGCTAAACATGGCGACTGACAAGGGTATTTCCCAAAATGTACGSTTTTTATCGGCAAAGAACTTTGGATAATGTTATTACTGGAACATTAGACAAACGCTAAACATGCCTTGGTATTTTCCTTGGTCTGATTCTATCAAGAAACGGGCCTGTCGCTATCTTTTACAGCACTATTTAGGGCATTTTCTGCAAGAGAAGCTCACCCTCGAACAGTTGACTGTGGACTTGTACAATGGAACGGGTCGAGTTGAGAATGTCCCTCTTGATGTATGGGTAGGTAGTGATGGGATTCAGAGACTTTCTGTAATTTTTTAAACGACTGTTTGCATGATTTCTTTTTTCCACTCCAACAATAGTGRCAAAAGATGTCAGATCATTTTTCTTGCTGACTAGTTTCGCATTCAAGTGCATTTTGAGAGCTTAGAAATATTTTATGGTGTGTTTCCTTAGCATGAAATATGATATAATCGCACGATTATTTTTAAATGTTTAATAATTCCTATAATACAATCTTGCATGAAGCACACAATTTTTATTGTCTTGATTTCAGTCAGGCCATGCATGCCTGTGTGCCAAGGAAACCTTTGTTTTCAGTTTCCATTTCAATGCCATATTTTATTTTCCAGTTAACCACAAATCTCCAGTCTTCTTTACTTGCAATGTAGATTTACTAGGTTTATCAATCATTGGCATCTTTCCATGTTAAATATTTTGTTGGATTATAAATGATTATTCATATGTGATAATTAATTTTGTAACTTATACCATACATTTTCTGGCACTGCTCATTATCATCCAAATGTTTTTCTGGCACTACTGATTATCATTCAAATGTCCRCCAGTATTTACAAATATTTCAAATTTCACAGCAAATGTAAATGAATGCTTAATATTAATTGGTCATTCAAAACATGGTRACAGTATGTTCAAAACTGTCTGCCTGGTCAACTGATTGGCATARCATGATTAGTTGATTGATAGACAAGCATGCAATTATAGTTTTATCAATTAGTCAATTCTAGGGAAAGTAAACCAAACAATTGATCAGTTTATCTACTGTGTATCATTTATTCAAGCTTTCATTCAACCAACTCATCTGTAAAAAATGGTCAATCATATATTTTGCCAATCAATCAATCAATCAATCAATATTGTTATCGATAGGTTTATGAGAAATAAGATTTATTATTATTATCAATCAATCAATTATTATCAATATATTTAATTAAAGTCAATGTCTTATATGTAATTATTGTTTGATGCTAGTCTGTTAATGAGATGTTGGATAGCTGTGGAGCACCATTTGAGTTGATTGATGGTTATATCAATAAGATATCAGTATCAGTTCCCTGGTCAGCATTACTTAATGATAGCTGTTGCATGGATATACAAGGACTAGAACTAACTATAGCTATGAAACAAAGATCAGACCAAGGTAAGTAAGGATTCCATGGATCAGATTTTATGTGACAGTCACTGATAGAATATGGTAGCATAATCTCTAGAGYGTAGTGTGCAACAGCTATGCACTGAATCCAGCAACCAATCAAGGCATGAAAATCAAATTAATGATATTATGAAATCTGCATTTAATGGTTTAAAATAATTAAAATGATTTACCCTGCATTTTGACTAGATATCTTTGCATCTATTTCCAGTGTTATCACCAAGTTTTCACTTGACACTTGCAGTGGATTTTGATGAGCTAATAGATGTTTGATTGTTGTTTATAGGGGGATCTGGTTTGACTGAATCCATGATATTTAACAACATGACGACAAGCATGGAGATGGCACAAGAATGTCTCAAACAAGGTCCATCACCTGGAGAGGAGCAGGCTGAAGCTGCAACACARCAGTTTGAAGGACTTGAAACATTTGCACAAACCATTGAATCAGGTGTGATCTTGCTGTAGATGGAGTTTTATTGTTACTTGATTATTATATGTATTCTTCTTGATCAATACACAAAATACCAAACACTAAATGTATGTATTTCTGCATTTTTCAGTGCTATCAAGAGTGAAGCTAACCTTTGCAGATATTGTGATAAGACTAGAACATTTACCTAAAGACATCCAGACAGGCATAGGCCTTGAGATTCATATCAAACGGTAAAATGTTATTTATTAAAAAAACATTTCATTCTTAATGAGAATACATGTTTAACAATTCTAGTGTTGTTGCTAGAGTTTCTAGGGATATGATGACTATTCTTATTAAATAGTGACATATTTCTGTCTTACAGGGTTGATTATTCAGATCTTTCAACTGAATTATCAGAAAAAGATGCTCAGTACAAAGCTAAAAGTGTTTATGAACCTGCTGCATTTGCTTTTAAAAACTTAAAGATATTTGGTGTGTGTGCTTACCTGGATGAATTCGAAGAGAAAGCAAGGACAATGCCACCAGGATTTGATTCAGACTCTCCTACATCTCCACCACCTTCACCAACTGTTAGTTCACCRTCTATGACTAGTGCTTGCTTTGAAAGTGTTGTTAGTCAACTAGCTAAGTCTGAGAAAAGTAGCTTGCTACCATCAATCCAGATTGGTAACTTTGCTGGTGGATTGGAAGTAAAGCTTAAGCTGAAACAAAATAATGCAGTAACTGGTTCAAAGGTAGTTATTATAAGACATTATCCACTTGTAAAAAGCACATTTGCCAAGTTTTTATTGAAATATTTAATTTCTTTAGGTCGATATAGAATGCTTTTTTGGAACACTGAATGTTTTCTTAGCTCCTCGACAAGTCCATCTATTGATAGAGTTAGCCAGTGCTTTGTCATTAGGTAAGAGATTTATTTGATGATTATCTTATCCCATTTTTTTATCTATTCATTTGTTCATTCATTTGCTGATTCACTCATTGTTTTTAGGGTTTACTTACAATATAGTGTTTAAACACTTCTATCTGCTTAGGTGACAACTGTCAGTCAAGCGGGTTAAAAGGTGGAATTTCAGTCAATAAACCAATGGAACCTGATGATTACAAGAGAATAGAGGAAGATTTACAAAACCAACTCCATGCTAAAAAGCAACAGAAATTAGATTCAGGTCATCAAAAAGTAGAGACGTGGAACTGTAACTTTGATTCTTCAAATACAACAGATAATTTAACCCATTTTTCATCCAGTGCAGAATATGATAGGTATGAAAAATCCTCAAATTGTCATTGTCTTGTTGTTTGTTTTTGCCTAATTYCCTCTTTGTTTCTCGTTTAAACTCACTTTCTACCTTTTTTAAGTGTCATGCATTCAGTAAGTTGTTTTTGTTTGTGTTAGTGTTCTTGGAGAAGATAGTGATGARCAGTTTTACTCTATGCCATCCAACCAATGGAACCATGACATTCTTCCTCCTTTAGAGGAACCACCACTACCTGCTGACATGATCAAGAAAGCTTCTCTTCTTACACAAGGCTTTGGTAACATCCCTAAGTTCAACACATCAGGTAGTCATCCCATTCAATGGTGTAGTACAATCATTGCCCTTGAAATAACACAAAAACCAAGCAATACCATTGTACAACATTGATTTTTTTCCCTGTTAGTTTTATCACTGTGTTTTTTTTCTTTGTAAAGGTTCGAGTCTGACCGAAGCTGCTAGTAGTGTGTTTGCACATGCTCAGTCTCAACAAAGTCAAAGCAAGCCCAGTACTTTTACAGGTATAGCAGCATATAATATCATATTATAATATGTGAAGAGATTAAAAATACATGACTTATATCAACATACATGTATGACACCTCAAATTTGGAAGCTAATTAGAAACAATTCAAATCAATTTTCCCAGGGAAACCAAAATCCATTTCACCYGTGAACCCWGGTCTGGC